TGACACCATTCAAGGTGGTGTATGGAAGATATTCACCTTAGTTGATCAAGTATGTTCCAGATTCTAAAGACCTTCCCTTAGTTCACGCACAGTTGCTACAGAGAGATGTAGTCCTTAGCAAGTTAAAGATGAATTTGAATAAAGCCCAAAATCACATGAAGAAATATGCTGATGAGAGGAGAAAACATTGTGAGTTCAACATAGGGGACACTATTTTGGTGAAACTAGAGCCATATAGGCAGCACTCTGTGACACTCAAAAAGAACCAAAAGTTGAGTTTAAGATATTTTGGACCTTTTCCCATCATGAAAAAATAGGACAGGTTGCTTATAAGCTATTATTACCTCCTACTGCAAAAATATACCCTATTTTTTATTGCTCAAAGTTGAAAATATGCAGAGGGGACCATCCCATCTCTTATGTTCCATTGCCTATTACCGAAGATGAATTGAGTCCAGTACTCCAACCAGTTTCTATACTTCAAAGTAGGGTAATTTTGAGAGGGAGCAAGTAGATTGAGCAGTATCTAGTGCAGTGGGAAGGCCTTAAGAATCTAAAGCAACATAGGAGGCTCACAGTGCCTTGTTGGATGCCTTTCTTAACTTCAACCTTGAGGACAAGGTTTTTTTTAATGAGGAAGGAATTGTAACAAATGTGGATGCAAGAGGGGCAAAAGAGACTTTAGCTAGCTCAAATGAATAAGGACACGTAGCTACTACTTCACCAAATCATGAAAGGAAGAAAAGTGCACGAATCAAAATATGCAATTCATGGTTGAAGTATTTTGAGTGGTCTAAGCACTAGTATATAACTTTCTGTTAGAAGAGAGAGAAAAAATGGAGTATTGATGATAATTTCTCTGTCTTTGTGATACTTTGCTATCATTTCTTTGGTTTTACTATCTTTGTACCCGTCAATGAATACAGTAGCCTTCATTGTTATAAACTAAAGTTTCATATATCAATTATACGTACAAAGATTTATATCCATTCTTACTTTACTATTGTATGCATTAAGCATTTGTTACACATATTTCTTCTTAAAAAAAATTGCTCTTGCCTCCTAGAATTTTGTTTTCTACTCCTTTTCCTAGATCTCTCCTTTGTCTATTTATATTATTCTTATTTTTTATTTTTAAGGTTTCACAAGAAGGTAAAATTGAAAGCAATCTCCTTTAAAAAACAAAAATTGATGTTAAGTTGATACTGAGTTGAGGCTTAATAGTGAAGGATTTATATTTCTAAGAGTTAAGTTGATTTTCCAAATTTTTTTATTTTTTTGTTAAAATATTTTATTTTATTTTAAAGATTTGAAAGTAATCTTCTTTGAAAGACAAAAATTGGTGTTCACACTACAACATTTAAACTTTCTCAAAATATGGTTCTAAGCTTCTATCTTTCCCACTAGTTGGTTCTATCATCTAAATACTACCTCTTTAGAATCCTTATGTTATTCTCAAAATGGCTTATATTTAAAGTTAGTATTACTTTTCTATTTTCGGATAAAATTAATAACAAGAAAGAAGCGGTCATAGGAAACCATTGGGAGAGCAATTGCAATCATACCAGGGAATAGGAATCTATATAACCATTAGCAAAATTTAATCTATTTTCTTTCTGGTGGTAAAACTATCTTAAATTTCTAATTCATCAATTTGGATCCCTTTTCATCCACATATATAAACATATGTCAGTCCACAAAATTTCTAAAAGTATCAATTTTGTTTTGTAATAATTTATGTAAACCAATTTTTTCATGCTAATACAAAATTTTGTATTAACATTGATTCATAAATAAGATGTCAACATATAGAAAAACTCATATTATATATATATATATATATATATATATATATATATATATATATATATATATATATTGGTAGTCCAACCATGAACACAAACAGAACAACATCAATACTTAATAAATAATGTTCAAACCATAATTATGTTGGTGGTTACTCACACCATACTCATATATATAGACAAAAAAAAAAACATGAAACATCATATTAGTCACATCATCCAACCAAGAACTTATCAATATAGTGATGGAAATAAGCCTTAAAAATAACCTTAAAAAACTCATCTATAACATCTTATACCTACCCATAAGGAGTCCTAAGGAAAGACTCTTTCCAAGAAAAGGAACTACGAATATGAAACACTTCTTCTTTATACTTTTTTGAACTTGCATGAAAATGGAGAGACGAAGAGGACAATGAGAGCTCCAAAAGTCCAATGGAACATCTAAATAGTTGCAAGAACGCTTTTACTTGAGCTCCAAAAACTGTTCAAAATAACTTCAAGAAAAATTTCTCTCAATCTCTCATATACACAAGGTTTTCCTAAGCTAAACTAAGCTTGAGAAAGGATGGAAATGAAGGAGAAAAGGGAGAAAATGAGCACAAAAATGAAGAGAGAGAGAGAGAGAGAAAGGAGAGTTTTGCGTGACTTTAAGAAGAGATGAAGAAAAATATGAAATGAAAGAGAGAGAAAATTGATGAAGTGTGCACAACCAAGTGAAAGAAAAAAAAGAGAGAGAATTTTAGACTTTTAATTATTATTTTGTACACATTAGAAAATGTAAAATTTAATGGTTAAGTAGTTTTTACGACTTGATATCAATTGTCTAAATTAAAAGAAAATCTATAAGAAGTTGATATTGTAACTAAGTGTATAGAATGATAATTAGTTATCATGTTGACTAATCACATCACTGACAATTAGTCTCATAAAAAAAATTCTTTGATTTTAACTAAAAAATATAAATTTTTATGATATCATATTTATCTTTAAAGTTTTAGAATAAATTATTTCTATTTCAGAAATATCTCTATTATTAGAGTCTTATATCGTACTAATTGATGAAATAAATCTTAAAAATTAAAATTCTACTTTAAAATAATTTTATAAATATATATTTTTTAAAAATAATTATAACAATTAAATAAACTAAAGAGATATTGATATTTCCTAATTTTTTAGACTACACGACGATTTCTTCAACAAATATCAAGACAATCAATTATTTTGTCTCCATATGAATTGATTATTACTTCTTCTACCATAATTTTGTTTTTCACAGGAGACAACCTTTCAATTGAATCATGATATATATCCACTTTTATCTTTTCCAAAAACACTCTTTCTTCCCCTTCTTATTGGAGCTGATTAGAGTTAGATTGAGTATTATGTACAGTGGTCTGGGAAGCATTCTAGATTGTTTTTTTCTCATATATCCATATTCCTGCTATTAAAAGAAGCATAGGATGAAACAATGAGCAATGAAACTCAAGATGTAAGGTACGACTCCTATGGAAGAGACACTTTACCATCAGAAAGAAAAATCCTTCCAATCTTTATTTATATTTGTATTTTTTTAAAACTAATGTAAATGCAAATGAGAGCAATAAAGCAAGAAAGAAAATGACAATAGGATTCTTACTTTCTTAGGCTTCTAAAATAAAAAATAGTTAAATTGGCTTGTAGGCTAGCCTCATCCTACCAATCCTTGAAAGTTTTCTTGCTATTAGAACTTTTTCAGTAGTCTTTTTAGCATTAAAGGATAAAACTAAAAAAAAAAAATTAAAGGAGAAATCATAGGTAATTAGTGGAAATTTTTATACAGCTGAAATATGATGCATTTTAAATTCCCATTAAAACTAGAATTAATCGTGAGAAAAAAAGATTTTAGTGTTTTAAAATATCATTTGTATACACAGATTAATATTTTAAAAAATCTATAAAAGATAAATGACTGTATGAGAAGAAAAAGACATACAAAAATTTATCCTATTTTAAGAATTAGGACTCTATTTTATTATTTAGATATATTATTATTATTATTAAATAACTGTAAAGGCATTTGCATCATATAATTATTTTATATTTGAAGTAATAATGTTTTAATTTTAATATAAATTGTACAAATTGTGTATAATAAAAAAATTCTCTAGAGTAGATCATTATTGCTTAATTTGTGAACTTCCTAAGATGGACGTTGGGTTGCTATAGGATAGGGTAGTCAACCTTAATTTTAGATTACCTACAATCTCTACTTATTTTAATTAATTAGTGAATTAGTTTAATGCTTATTTAATCTTTTTAAAGTTTTATATTATCATATCTAAATAAAAACTATCAATCCAGGACAGTTGGTGGTCGAGAACCATCTAATTTATTTCCCACAAAAATAGAAAGGCATATATAGTAATCGTCGTAATTTGATAATTTTTAAAGAAAATTTGTCTTTTCTGCTCAATGTTCTCTGCAACACGTTTAGTCATTTATTTTATTAAAACAGTTGATACATTTTATTTTAATAAGCTGACTTTGAGAAATGTATCCACTTGTCCTGACTACTGTATATTTGTAGTTTTCTTTTTCTTTTCTTTTTTCTTCAGATCGCGATGGCATTATGATTGGATATAGATTTTGTAGGTCTATGCAATGCATAAATATAATATAGCTAGTGAATATGACAATGTTAGCCATGTACCTACCCCGACAGAAAGAAAAATCAAGAAATTAGCTACAAAGACAGCCTGAGTTAATGGATTCATCTGTTTTCGAGAGAGAAAGGGTGCTTATAAAGTTCTTTAAATATAATATAGTTAATAAAAAAGAATGAAGTTTCAAGCATTAATCCCTTGCTCATGGAGGATGGAGACAGAATAAATTTAAGGATTAAAGATAATAACATTATTTGATTTTTTATTCAACATTTAAAGCTGCTTTTCTTTTTACTTTTTAATATTAGCTTTAAATGGTATAGGATAGTTACTATACTAAAGTAGAAGTTTAAAAATAAAATATATCACAGATAAATTAAAGAAAAGTATAATGATTTCCGATCGTGTCCATTCCATGCATGGACAAAAACAAGAACATTATATATATATATTATTACATGGAGCGTGGAGCCCCCATTACACCCTACTGGGGAACGAAGCGTAAGGGAAAAAGAGCATTGACTGTATGAAAAGGACCATTAATGTGTTATTGTCGCAGAAAGTTTTGTAAAGTTCTTCGGTCAATATCACTGATATCAACAGAATCCATCAGTTCTGATAGCCTCTCACTGAGCTCTTCCACCTCTTTCTGCAGCCTCCTAATGTGACAACAGGTTTCCTGCAAGATCTTGGACGCTGATTGCTACACACCAAAACAAACTAACTTAGCTAATATAAGATATCTATAATGATGTGACTTAGTTAAAGTCTTGCATTTAGGGGGTGCTAGAAAAAGTTCACCATATTTTAAGATAATTGTTTGGGACTCTCGTTTTAATAAACTTTTATATATAACTTAATAAAATTATCAAATAAATACTTAATTAAGTTATTATTTAATTGCATTCTTAATTAAATAACTTAGCTTAAAGCTTGGTAGTGCAACTTTATTTATCATTCACCAACATAGTTTAACTTCAAATTTATTTTTTTTAAAATATTTGGTCAAAATCATGGGTTTCACTTGGGACTTCATATAGGGGTTTTACTTTTAACTAAGTCCTGATACCAAACATGATTTGTACACAAGTTTAAGCTTTTAATATTATTTATATATAAGTCATATATATGTATGGAACATACTAACTTTAATGATCGACGTCATAGGTGAACAAGTGCCTACAGTAATATCAGCTGCAATGGGACCAACCACAACTAATTTGTTCGTGGTTATGAAGCAGGATTTCATATAAGATGTAATTCATATTAAGTCATGTGTTTGATACCCATGACTTCGATAAAAAAGAACAATTAAAAATCATTTGCCACAAAAACCATGGGATGGAAATAAAATTTGAAGTTACACCAAAACAGTGAAAGAACAGTCAGGTTTTCTGGAAGAAAAACCTAAATGTATAGCACCACTGAATACTAAATCAATTAAACTTTTTAAATAAATTAAACCAAAATATGCGGTTACTATTGCAACTAACATCACCAGTGGCTATCTAGCTAGAGTAAAGGCAGTTATACATGGAGTCAACTAATGAAAAAATGTAACTATATGCAGACCATGCAAAAGGATTAAGTTCAAACATTCACAACTGACATGGTAATACCTTTGAGTTGCCTCTTTGGTTCATCTGTGGCAGCAGAACTTGTAACCTTAACACAAGATCATTGATCTCATTCTCTGTGAACATTGAAGCTGATCTTGACCTTCTCTGCCCTGACATGATTGTAAGTCCTTGCACTCCTTGCTTAGTTACTCTCTCGTGCCCACAATTTGATTGGCCGTTGCTTGCAGTGGTGTTGTGGTGAAATTGCACCGAAGAGGGTGTTTAAATAGAGGATATGAGGGGGAGGGGAGAGAGAGAGAGGAACTGTTTCTTATCAAGGTTCTTGAAGGCACTGATTTGTTGGAAAATGACCACTTCTGACAAACATTAATAAATTAAATTTTGAGTTGTTTGAATCAGACCTCCTTTATCACACATTTCAGCAGTACATGGAGATGGCCCACGATTACTGTGAGCCTTGGCCTAACAAAAACCCTTGTATATACATGACGCCATCACACTAATAACTTATCTCTTGATGCATGCATCCTGAAGGGCAATTTTAATATTAGTTTGGTTTGAATTAAACTTCAAACACTTTTATGTTACACATGTGTGGAGAGCACTGAGGTTGTTCTGAGTTGTGGTTGTGCTGTGACTATTAAATTAGTATATAAAAATATATTCTATACAAATGCCATTGACATAGTTACAAATAGAGAAACTACATTGATTCAAAAATTTTGTATAAAATGTTTTACAACGAAAAGAGAGTGTGAGATAAGCTAATTAATATGATAAAGAAAAATATGTAATGAAAAATGTATAAATTTGTTAAATATACGAATAGCTGATCCCAATACTATTTTATTAAAATACATTCGTAGATATCTCTAAGACATCAAAATTACGCTGTATTAATCATGATTGCATATCACAATTTGAAACTGGATAATGCACCTTAGGTATACTTTGGTTCACATGGAGAGAGATTTTAGTGCTAGTAACACCCACTTGTACCTTTTTTTTATTATTATTGATCAGTTTTCTAAAAATTTAAAATAATTTAAAAAGTGATCAATATTTTACGCAATTATTTTGACTTTTAACTCAAAGTAATTTTTTAAAAATATAACAAATACAACTCTTTTAATAATTTTTTTATGAAATCTAACATAATTTTTAATAAACAAATTCACTTTCATTTCTTAATTACTTTCCTAAGTGTACTATGATTACCAAGACTCTAAAAAGATAGACTAATTAAAAAAAAATATTGAAAAATATGTTCAAAAAAGTATGTTACTAGTATTTCTCGATACATAGTTATATTATTATAAATATTATTTTAAAAAATTGAAGATAAAATTGTAAAATAGTTTAGTAAGTATAGTTTAAATAATATATTGTAAGGAAAACAAATTTTAAAAAAAATCCCTTCATTTTTTTTTTCTCTCATTCATTTTAAGTTTCTGAATGATCACATTAAGAATTATGAAAATTGATCTCTCCATCTCCTCCTGCAGCATCCAAACACTGCTTTTGTTTGTCTTGTGATAAAATTAAGGTTTGAAGTGTGTATACCTTCCCCATTTATTGCTTGCTAAATATATTCCTCCACAGAAGTCTTGTCAGTTGGTTTACTCCTCACAGCTTCTAATGTATTATTTTCTCTTTGGATTTGCTGCATTTGCTGGTTGGGCCATCAAAATCTGACCCAATCTATAGTGTAAGAATTTTGAGAGCATAGGAGATTGATATTAAAGAAAAGATTAAAGAAATACATGGCCCACGTTCGGTGTTTTAATTAATATTGGAACAACAAAGAAACTTTCCGTCTTTAGCTTATAATATTTGACTAATTTTGGCCTTGTTCAAATATTTAAGTCACCAGGTACCTAGTTCTGATTCAATCTTAACCTTTAGAATTGGTGACAACAAATAAAATAAATAGAATTGTCAGCAGATACCTAGGCAGGGGAACAAACAGGCAAAATCATTACCAATTGAAATTAAATTTTTTGTATGATAATCATCTTAGGTTTTGGAATTAAAGGTTCCTCTTAATTTATGGCTATTGGTTAGATAATTAGAATCCTGAAAAATATGATCCAATTTCACATTGTTCACATGCTACAGTGAAGTAAAAGAGGGCATATAAATGTTGTTCCTGTAGAGACATTCCTACCCCGTTATGGGTTCTAAATTTCGATTGGACAAACGAGAAGCTGTAATACTGGTACATAATCTAGTCTGTGCTAACTTTCTGCATGTACCCTTCTTATAATTTTTAATTTTATTTTTGTGAAGATTTATAAATATATATGTATATTTTAAATATGAATGTTGATGTGACGAAGCATGTACAACAAGATGAATGACTAAACTACACAGGCCTGTGAATGAAGGCGACAACCTGGAAGAGGGGCTTCTGGGTGAGTCAGGGTGACTCTGATGATGGAAAATGGGAAAGACAAAACCAATAATTGGAGTTTTGGCATCATTTACCAAACCTTTAATTTGGCCCCTAACTTTGCGGTAGCAACTAGTAAACTATTACTTTTGGAACACAAACTTCGATGATTCAGCAAACTTTGAGATGCTGTAGATGTTCTTTTTTATATAAATCTTAAATACATCAATTTAAATGTTTTTAGTGTAACATTTCAGTCAAAAGCAAAGTTTTATTTCAAAAATCAACTCTAACCTTTATTAGTTGAATTGTTAAGATGAAATTTTAATTTTACTTAACCCGAATCAAAATCATCTAAAATATTGAGTATATGTTATGAGTCAATAAATAACAACATCCATCAACATTGTCTAGGACGGAGCTATACACAGAGGTAATATGGGACGACATGCCCTTCAATCCATATTTGCCAATTTTCTTACTTGGTTATTACTACTCTTCTCTTGTTAAAGTGTGTCTTTATTTATTCAACATCATTTTATATAAAATTATTAAATATTTAAAATATTATACAATAATTAAATTATATATATATATAATATTTAAATAATAAGTTAAATATAATATAATTTTGTTCATGTGAGGTACGATTAATTGATATTACAAAAAAAATTATTTTTCTTATATTTGAATTTTTAAAGGATTTTTATTATCAAAGTTAAGAAAAACAAATATATTTTGTTCTTTTAAATTTTTTGGAAAGAAAATTTTAAGAGATATACTTTTTTTAAAATAATATTTTTTTAATTTTTAATAAACTAATATTTTTCTAAAGAAAAATGCAAGAAGATACTTATAATTTTTTAAATTCAATGAATACGATATTTGTGACATGATTTTGTAGTTTATATTGATTAATATGTAAATGGCTTATTTTTTGATAAAACAAAAGTAATATATTTATTCTTAAATAATTTTTATTAATTGAAATATAAGCATAATTAAATTAAAATAAGATTAATAATATTAAATAAAACCTATAAATTTGAGTAATATACGTATTTTAAAACTAAAATATTAAAAGTAAATAGTTAGGGCAATTTAAATACATGAAAAACTTAGTATCATATTATTGTTGTTTTTTTTTTCCTTGTGCAAGGGCATATTAAATATTATGTCAAAAATGATTTATGGTATTTTATAAATGATATTATTTCTGTTTTTTCTTACAGATTTTTTAATTTAATATAAATATATATATAATAATAATTTTTATAATAATTATTTGTTAAAATTACAATACAATAAAATATAAAGATTAAAAATTAGAAATATGTGTTTTTAAATTAAAATTATTATAAAATAAAAAATTATAATTTAGTTTACTATTTAAAATATTTAAACAATGAAATGAAACATTTTGTTTCATTCTATCATAATAAAATGAAATATTTACTCCATAATATTTTATTCTGCTTCATTCTATTTTTAGCATATTTCAACCCACTTGTCTCCTTTCGTCAATTTAAATATAGTCTTAACCATCTTTTTTCAGTATTATTATACAAAAGTACGTAGGAGTATATAAGACTAAATGTGTAAATTTTTTCTAACTAATGATAACTTTAAACTATAAGCGAAGATATCTTGTAACTTTGACTTTATTTATTATTTAAGACTTATTCTCTTTTACTTTATTCTTACTGTTTTATAATTAAAATAATATTGTCTAGTTTAAATAAATTTATTGAAGTGTTTATAAGAGTAAAAGATTAAATAGTAAAAATAATCAAATATTTATTATAAGTTAAAATCAACTTAGTTTATATTTTTTAAAATTTGAGGAGTATAAAATATTTTTAATTTATGAAAAAATTATTTTTTTTTTATATTAAGTTGTTTTCTTATAAATGCTTATCCAAAAGCTTATTTAAATTGAGTTATATTAATTATTTATTAACAAATAAAGACACACTTTTTATACATAATATATAGTAAAAGAAATAAATAAGAAGCGAAAATAATCCCAATTGAAAGTAATATTTAGAAAACACGTGTTTAGCAAGTCACATGATTTAAGTATTTAGAGTGAATCACATAAAAATTAAGATGATAAGAATGATTGAGTCTAGTCTTCGAAGATGGTAAACCCACTGAAGATGGGTGGAACGAGTTACTTAAATTGGGTATTTAATTTAGTAAAGTAACAATATATGGTATGACAGTTCATTTTGTGGAACTATCCATTGCTGCTATCAACTATTGCTCTTGGACACACCATATATCCAACTTTGATACAAAAGGAAAAGGGACATGCATATTTAACTTTAATCTATCAGCACTTATTATTTCTCTACCAACTCACCATTTTTGCACAGGCAAATTTGTTAACCATTTTCCTTACAATTTTTGCATCATAAAATCACAATTAAAAAAATACTAAATCATCATATTTATAAATAAATTTTTTCATGAGAATTAATTAGATAAATAGTATCTACTTTTGCATAATGTTTATATAGGATTTGAATAAGGTGAGTTCTTGGTAAGATTTATAAGTGTTCCCAAAGCATTGAAAGCAAGCTCAATGTTAGGTGAGATATTAAATTATAATTACTATGTAAAACTATTAAGAATAGAATTTTATTTAATCTTAAGAATTATTATGTAATTTACTCTAAGATTTATGTAACAAAACGTGCACAAGTGCACAACCATGTTACTGCCCCTCAGAGTAATACCGACACCAATTCAAAGGGACCCC